ACCTAGAGAAGCACTCAGCCTTTCCAGCTCTGTTGGTGCATTAACATGTCACGTAATGAAACTATTCAGCTGAGATTAAAGGAAATTTGTAGGGCAGGCAGAGAAGAATTGGTTAGTCACAACTGTGTCTTCCTGACACTTGTATTGTCAGGGTCACAGAAACAGGTGGAGTGAAGCATGAAACAAGTACATTGCTGAGAGTTTATTAACAAACCAAATTGATATTAAGCCATCTAACAGGTAGAGTACAATTTTCCTTCAAAAGCCAGCTGTTGCAATGTCACCTTCATATTTCTATAAAGCACTTTTCTGCCCAAGATCTCGAAGCATGTCTTTGTCTAAGCATTCTCAGTTTGCAGATGGGAGTCAGGAGCTCAAGGACGGCAAAGTTCAATTGTCCATTGCCTGTGTCCACAGCCTGAGAGCAAAGCTGGGCCTTCAACAGGATTTTTGTGTGTGAGGGCAGCAGCCACACTACCTCACTTGTCAAATGGGCAACAAATCATCTACTTGGAAGCACCCCTTATTCAATTATGTCCTTTCATTTACCTTAAGTTTGGCATTTCTGTACAGCATTCCTCAAAAATGCCTGTAGCTCAATAAATTTCAGTGTAAATAGGCAGCAATTTCTATTCCATGGCAGAAGCTACCCCATGCCTTGTTATTAATAGTTTTTAAATGCTGAAGTTAAGTGAGCAAAATTGCAATTGTTCTTCTCTTAATCTTCCAGCCAAGGGAAGGAGTATTTATGTAGATATTGCTCAGAGTACTTGAGAAAATGTTTGTTTATAGCTTTAAGTAAATTTCCAGCAGAGCTCCCCACGGAATATTTCACAGTTCAGTGCTTACGGAAAATCAGCCACAGTAGAGGGGGACAGCCTTCTGCAACCCGTCAATTGCTGGGTAGCTTATGCTCCTGAGAGAAGCTCTCAGTAGATTCAAGGGACTGCTTTCGTAAGCACTACTAAAATTTCACATGGGTTTCAGAATTTACCCTGGAAAGTCTGGTAGAGAAAATTCATCACAGAGTGGAGTGGTTTCTCAGCACTCCAAACAGAAGAAATTGTATTTATTTTGTTCTGTAATTTCTCCATTTCCTTCCTTCCCTCCTGCCTTACCACCCTCCCTGTCTTGCTTTCTCTTCGTTCTCTTCTTTCTCCCCCTTCTTCAACACAGATAATTGAAAAACTGTCATTCTGGAATTCCTTTGGCCCTGCAAAAGGCTTTGAAAAGTGATTCCAAAATAGCCCAGCCTTTTCTTTTAATCCATAATTCATCATCCTAAATTGTTGCTCCTCACTGCAACCCTAAATAAAATGTCAGACACAGCACAAAGAAAAGAAATCAAGCAAATGAAAAAGGGACAAAAGGAAATGTAGCAAATCCCAAGGGTATTTGCAAAGAGAAATAATTTAATCTAAAAGGCTCCTCAGCTCTCATATAGGAAATCTGATTTGTGCCATGTATTAGGGGAACACAGAACTGGTCTTACATCAAGACATGCTGTAGAGTGACTTCTTGGATGGAATAACATGGAGACAAGACAGAGAAAGACACTAGAAAACCACTTTCTCTGCCACCTATACCTTCACAAACAGGACTGAAGTGAGTATCCAGGCCTGGCTCTGTCAAGGCATTCTCCATCCCGTGGCAGACTTCCATCTGTGGTTTGCTCCAGGTGACACCAAGAGCTGGCACTGACTGAGCCTGATGGCTCTGTCCCAGTCCCTGTGAAATATTGTAGCAGTCATGAATAAGGTGGGAGAGCAGGAAAGCAAAGTGGGAGGGGATATGATGGGGGTGGTGTTAGTGTCTTCAGGCCCCTGAGACCCACATCCGCCACAAAACTCATCAAGCTTCTGAACACGCAGGATATGTCACAGTGATACACATGCCAACCTGAATGTCACATTAATATGGGATTTCTTGAAAATGCCTTCAACTGGAAGGAATCCAGAGAGAGAGTTTTGTGGCTTTGCAACCTGTAATCTCTCATCTCTGGCAGAGGTTGCCTAGAATCGGCTCTCCTCCAAGCCCTGTAAAGTGCCATCAGCTTCAGGACTGGAAGCAGACAGTTTGGACAGGGTTGAGAGAGTAGATAGGTAGAAAGCCAGTCAGGCAAGAAAGGATCCTGAGAGCTGGAATAATTGAATTAATATGTACAAGTCTTCCTGCTTCCATTGATGTCAGTGGGGGATCTTACTATGATCTTCAGGGGAAACAGGATTCAGCTCACTTTTGCGAAGAGCAGGTCAAAACTGGGGAAAAATGCATGTACATGTGATTGCTCTGTGATTTGATACTAGTTTGTTTTCTTGTGTTGGAAAAATCAGATTGAAAAAGAAGATTATAAACTCTCCCTGTCAAGAGAAAAGGAATGGAAAAGGCCATGGGGCTAGTAAATGCAGTTATTATCCTTTCACCCCACTTATCCCCCTAGGTTTGTGACATTCACATTACAGTTGTCCTTTATATACGCCGATTTAAGTTAGTTGATGCTCCATATAATGCCAGGGGGAAAAATTATGATAACCATATGCAAAGCCTTTTAAAAACTTGCTTCACTGTGAGAAAGAGGGGTTAAGTTCTTGATCCAGCAAGATGTTTAAACATACGCCTTTACTGTAAGCATGTGAGTGGTCCCATTGATTTATACTCAAGAATTCTGCTGAAGAGGGGTCTTTGGCCTCTGCCTCACCAATGCAGCTACATACACGCTTCACTTTTGGCGTGTGTAGTCCTGTGACTTTCATGAGGAAACTCACATGCTTGGCTGGCTCAGGGCTGAGTCTTCAGGAGGTGGACGGCATTGTGGAATGGCCAGGGTTAGAGGAAATAGTATCCCAGATCTGCGTCTCTGGCTCAGTCACCACCTCTCAATGATTTTACTCTGTTCAACTGCTTATAGATTTGGGATAAGCTGCAGTGGTGAGAGAGTTTCTCAGGAAAAAAACATTTTGGCCTCTGCAGTTCTGTCCTTCGCCAGACATGGAAAAGAAAAGATGTAGCCAAAAAGTTTAGAGTATTGAAGAAAATGATACTATAAAAATTTGGTTTTAATCAGGGAGAGGAGTTTCGGAAAGCAGAGAGGAAACAACAATTTGGGTTTAATTCTGCTTCTTCTGGCAAAATACCACCTCTCCATCCCCCCCACATGAGATCATTAGTGTGGCTTTTCTCCAAGCCGATAACAGAAGTGCCTGGCTTGTACACCTTGCTCGCATGCTCAGATAAACCCGTTGCCAGCTTTGGGACTAGAAGGGATTTCTCCCTCAGGTCAGTTGTGCTGACTTGGTTTCCCACTCCTCTGCAGGAATTGTCACAGTTTGCTCCCCTAGACCACTCGGTATGGTATGTCAGACCTCCTCCCATGGCCTTAGGTGGGAATAGCTTTTGGTCTTATACTACAAGACTTAGTTGAACTTATAACGGGCCATTGAGAAGTATTTTAGGGTGGAGTGGACCATCCCTCTGCCACACATTGCCACCCCACATTGCCTGTGATGCTGGAGTTTGGGATTAGCAGTCCGAACGAAGATGGTCCCTTCCCACCCCATGCCCTCTAAAATCCAGCTAGTGGGTGCATTGAGGGGAGGGAGACCCATTGCAAGCAGTAGCTGCTGGTGTGTTGGCAAATAAGTGTTATCCCAGTAAGGGGATAAGGTGGATACATACACAGAGTGTGTTTTGTCAACTCATTTTGACAGCTAGAATACATTCTATCTCACTGTCAATGCACAACCTCCATGCTACTTTCAAAGCAGAATGAAGCCTCTGTGCCAGGCATGCCACTAAAGATTTGGTGGGAGCTGATCAAACCACATGGAGAAATATCTGAGCACACAGGGATGTAGGAATGCTGGGGAAAGGATGATGGAGTTGTCTGGGATTCTAGCCTCTTGGGCCTGGCCCAAGGCTTTATACTTTGTTTATACAATAGTAATCCTGAGCACTTCACGTGATAGATCCCTGGTGATACATTTTAGGGGGGTTTACACTGATTTACACTGCCTGAGGCCTTGACCTATATTTTCCAAAGAATTTTCCAAAATTTGCTAATGAAAAATACCAGAGTGGTCTGATCAGTGCAGGGTTAGGTTACATCAGTGAGCAGGCTGGGGAATGCAGGGAGCCTGTCTCCCCATTCTCCCCCAGGGAAGCCCTGGGTGCCATCTCTTCCAGCCTGCTGAGGGGTGCTGGGTGAGGGCTGTAGGCATTGGGAGTTTATCTGCTAGTTCCCACACCCTCTGAAAGACTGTCTGTAATGCACTCAGCTCCCACTTTCAAAAGTTGTGTGGCACTCCTCAACAGGCATAAAGTCTAAAAGTCTCAACACTGATTAACTCTTTCAGCCCCCATGAGCATCACAGAGATATCCTCCTCCCATTGCCTAAATTCATCTCTGAGAGTGGCACAAATTAGGGCATTAGCAGCCCTAGCAGCCAGCAGGTCAGCCATGGGATCCAACTTGCCCTGGCTTCTGTTTCCAGCAATGGCCCTCATTGGATGTCACACTTTTGACCCTCATCACCCTCCAGAACCTCCCTGCAAGGCATGTGTTCCTTTGAGTAAGGAATAACACAAATGTAGGTGGCATCTGAGGATTGCTATACAGGTAGGAGGAATTTACTTGTGCTGGGTTTAGGGATCAATGGAGAAAGGGTGTAGGAGGAGAGAAGGGATGATGAGAACAAAGTATGCAATCTAAACCAGAATTTTTGTCAGGATTTCAAAGTCTGTGTAAACCATATTATTAATATTTAAACAAGGCCTGCTTTTTTTTTTCTTTCCTTTTTTCCCTTCCTCCTGCCTTCCTGTTCCAGGATTGCAAAACTCATTTCCAAACAGGCTTATTTCTTTCCTGTTACTAATAGCAGAAGAAGTGATTTATATGCACACTGGGAGAAGAAAAGAATCTGAAAAGTATCTGAAAAGAAAAAACATCGTCCTTTCTTCCACCTGTATCCAAACTTACTCTCTTTTCTTCCTTCTTCCCTCAGGGCTCAGACACACGATGGACTTACTGTGGTTTCTGGAGCTACCATGGTAACTTGATAGTGTGTCCATGCCCAAGAAGAGCCCAGCTTTGCATTGTTCAAAGCAAAGGGTCCCCTTCTGAGAGCTGGGAGAGGCTGAGATGTTGAATTAAGAATATTGCCTACAGGCAGTGAGTTTTGCTCTGAAATTCAGCAGACCGCTCCAGTTAGAATTTGCATTGCAGGTTTTCACTTGGAATTCATTTTAGTGATTCCATCATCCAAACTCTGGCAAAACCAGTTTATAATGGGAACACTATCTTCACTTTAGTGGGAGCAACGAGAGAGCAATATCAATGCCAGTGATTATTTAAGCTTGTTTGGATTATTTTGGTTATTTTGGAAATCTGAAGGTCTTTCTGAAGGGCCACAACCCAGCACCAGGCTGAAAATGTGGTGGCAGGGCTGTGGGTAGCACCTGTCCCTGGGATAGAGCTGCTGGAGAGGGAGGCGCAGACCATGGCCAAATGAACCCTGCAGTCAGGAGCCTTACCCCAATGCTTTTCTGTGCAAGCAGTTCGGGAACCAGTATAGAAGATCTCACCACTAGCACTGTGTTCACCCTGTGGGAGAAGGGAGAGACCTAACTGAACACTTGCGGAGATGAAACAAGTGGCTGTGGAAGGGCTTTGTCAGGTTGGAACACAACAAGTTTACAGCAAATACTGATTTTAGTTGGGAAGATTTTCTGTTCGAGGTTGGTAAAGGTATGTTAATTAGTATCATTAGAATTGGGTAACACACTTCCGTGTAGGGTTGCCTGACTTTCTTGCTGTGCTTTCAAGCTGAACATATGTTTTCAATTATTAACATGATTAATGGGAATGAGGTGACTTGAATCCCAATGAGGTCTATCTTGCCATCACGCACAAACCCCTCAATATGGGTATGTTTACACAGTGTGGAAGTGCATGATTTCCTTCACTAGGAGGAGTCTTAGGAGATCTGGGTTTCTAACTCTTAACAAATTTAGATATCCACAATTAGAGCCACTTGCTGTATTCAAGTCTCTGGACTCCTGCCCCCGCCTCTCCAGGAGTGTGGGAGGTGGAAAGTGTTGTGCAGGAGCCAACTCACACTGTGCTGCCCCAGCTTGGCCTGGGTTTTGGTCCCGAGACTGAAAAGGTCTGAGAAACATGATACCACCTTCTTCCCATCGTCATCTCGAACAACCTCCAGGATGCATAAATCTCTCATTCAGTTGAGACACTCCTACTATTTTATGTGGGTTCTAAACCACCCTTTCCATTCTTGGTGGGCAAATTTCACTAAGGTGTGCATCACTTTCACCCTTCCCTATGTTTTTGGAAGGGAATAAGGTTGAGGATCTAGAAAAACAAAAGCAGATATTGAAAATTCTTTTAAGGTTTAATTCCTCTCCAGTTGCCAGAGCCAGAGTTCATCATTATACTTGGACCCTTTTTTACCCCATCAGCTAAGTCCTGGTCTAATTCCTTCTGACATAAGTATATGTCACTCACCCAAAATCTGGAAATCATATTTTTGCAAGTGAGTCATTCAGCCCATTACCAAACAAGAATATGCTGGGTTGAAGCAAAATTGTACGGAATGAGTGTATTTGCGAAAGATCCAATCTAGAAATGGACAGAGGTACACCCTCCTTCAGATCAACAGAAACAAAGTAGTGCCATGAGCACTGGAACTAATGAAACTGAACTTCCCATTGGCTCAGGTCTGGTGCTTGAATGAAAGCTCCCATTTAATTTTCCTAGGGTTGCTACACTTTTAAATTTTTTGTCTCTTGCAGATTCTGTTGGTTAAAGTGACGGTAAGTTCACACTACAGCCTTTACCTCAGTCACGATACAGACTGAGGCTTTCTCCTATGTCTGGATGCATATTTTTGTTGATTCTGTGAGAAAATAGCTATTTCCAGGTAAGCTTGGAGCTGCAGAGATTGCAAGGAGAGCAAGTGGGCAGAAGGAGAATGATCTCTTAAATCATGTTTTTCTTTGGGAAATATGACTAAAATTGCTATACAGTGCAAGCGCAGATGGTTTTTACAGTACCAGCAGTGTGTGCTTATGTGTGTATGCAGATAGACATAGAGTATGAATTAGCATCAAGAACCTGTGTGACTAAATATTTTTTTTAGTTTTTAAATACTCTCTATATATGTACTTACGGGTATATACACATATGCATAAATTATATCCTCCTGTCTGTCTCTACACATACATATGTGTGCATTTTTCTAAGTATTCTACATGTATTTAGAAAGAGTATACAGCATTGCCAAATAGGCTGATATATGATTATTTGTCTTACTGCCCTTTAGATATATACTTATTATTTTCAGATTTATCAAATCAAACAAACATGTTGCATATTAGGGCTCCTGAATTCAGCTACAGAAAAGAGTGTGAGGGTGTTTGTGCATGTATGTGAGTGTTCATGTACAATAGGTGATATGCAGCCACACAAAAGTTGCACTCACTTAGGTGAGAGACACTTACATATTACAAAAGCAGTAAGGCCACCCCAAATAAGCACCTATTGCCACTACAGCCTGAGTATCTGTATGCTAGCGGATGGTCCTAAGTCACCTGTTCATACTCCAACTTTCTGTAAGGAATTTTACTGTTGGCAAACAAGAGAATTCATGTCACAGGAATAATCTGCAAATGGTTATGGGTGGTACTTCCATGTGTGACTGTAGCTGGGATCTGTACGAATAAAAACTTGCTTGTAGCAAACAACGAGTTCCCAGATTGTAAAATACTTCTAACTGGATCTGCACTCAACTGCTGTCTTGTTCGGATGAGCTGCCATGACAGAGAGTGGAGCATTACTACTTAACTAATGGCATGACAGTAGCAGTTATGGACTCAACATCATCACTGCTGTGGGTGTACAGTCACACAGAAGTTGCTGTCAAACAGTAATTGCCAAGCACAGCAAGAGGCAGCAATGCTCCATATTCCATTATCCATTCTCCCAGACGTTCACTTCTGCTGAGGAAGGGATTTTAGAAACTGAACCTGTATTTAAGGTCAATTGAAGTCTGAAAAGACTCCAATTTTTTTTAAGTTGCCATTATTCAGCGTAATGCACTACTGTGAGCATCTGGAAAAGGCAGGGCAGGAGACGGAGCTGGTCTTGTGCTGGGAGCATGAGCAGGCACTTGAAAGTGAAGCAGCTGATTTTTAGTTGCGACAAAGCGGGCCCAAACTGGGGACCTGAAATGAAAAAAATTGCAGTTCATGGGAGAGTGTGTGCCAAACTGCGAGCCACTTTCTACAGAACACTTCATCCTCATCAGCTGGGATAAAGAGTTTACTTCTGGCAGATCATGAGATTTCAAATGGGAAAGAGAAACTGCTTTAGCAAAGGGTGTTGAGGTGTCTCAGACTGTAGGGCATGCTCTTATGGCTGGCAGAGTAGGCCCCAAGAGATATCTTCCCTCCTGCATCCTCAGCTGCCTCCACTTAGGAGAAAGCTATGTGTGTGCTATAGCCAGACCTGATGAAGAGGACTGATTCCTTCATGCTTTTCTTGTTTTTCTATATGTAGTATGAAGTACATAACATGTAACAGCCTGAGTTTTAATAACAAATGCTCATCATCTGGGAGATGGGCACAGATAAAGGTGAGGAGAAGAGCCTTGCCAGAACCTCAGTTCTTGAAATATCTAGAAAGGATGGAGAAAAGGATTTCCAAAGATACATCTGGGAACTCATCAACCAGGGCAGTACACAGTATGCAGTGGTGTGGAGAGTGCTGAGACCCCAAACCACCCTGCTTAGAACCTGCCCTGAGATGCAAGCAGTGACCTATGGTGGTGAGGAAAGAGTCGAGCTTGCTTTATCCCAGCCGTCCTTCTCCAGCACTTTGGGTGGGATGGCAGTCCCTGCTCAGTGGCTGGGGGAGAGCTGTGGGAGTACAGCAGCTGCTGTGCCTTCCCCACACTTCAGTCACGGCCCTAACTCACTTCCAGAGTGAATTAAGATAAACTGAATCAGGGGCTCTCTATTTCTGAATGAGAGTGTTTAATCCACTGCTGATTATGTGTCAGCACCTAACCCATTTCCAAAGATAAATCAATTTAATTCTTCTGGATGTCCCTGTATCAACAAGCCCTGAACACGACTAAGATGAAACTTATCTTCCATGTCCAAGGTGGCTGGAGAGATAACCAAGTTTAAAGACATCTGGAGCACTTCATGACTAGAGACAGAGACGAGGCATGGCAGTAACCTACTTCTTAAAAACCCCGTGAAGACTTTCCTATGAAAACCCCTGTGTCAGCAGGGGAGTGAGAGCCAGAAGCCTGCGGGTGCTGGTGTTGGCTTGCGCTCAGCTCCATCACTTCACACGCCTGGAGCACATTCCTCCAGCTGAAGGCAGCACCATGAACAAACCCACATTCTTCTGCCCACATTGTTTCCAGCTGTAGTAAATTTTAAGTAAAAATCAGATATGGTTTAATGAGGAAAGTTTACTTTTTTTGCTTTGTTTTGCAGGTTTCAATCTGTAAACAGTGCTTAAACCTCTGTATTAGAGCGTTTTACCACTATGACATGGCAGACCATCAGTATAGCGTAGGACTTGGATGAATCCCAGTAGAGACATAATGACCTGGAAGAATAAAGCGATTTGAAACTCCTTTCTGAAAGTATTGTGCAAATTTACCTAAAATGTAAATGTATATCAGTACTATTGTAAAACTGACAATCTTGTATTGTTTGGGTTTTTTTTTTTAGATAGAATGACACTGAGAATACAGTGTTTGTTACAGCTGTGCTGTTGTTAATGAGGTTCAAACCCAGCCAATTCAGACAGAAAAATCTTCACTGCAGACTGTTAGGAGGGTGGTAAAAACAATGACAGTTTTGCTATTGGAAACTGTACATCTAGAACGTCACAGCAGGGGACCTGTCTAATATTTTAAGTACTTTTAAATTAAACATTTGAGAGTGCCATTTGAATGCCATCCCCTGAAAAGTCAGTAACTGTTCATCACAGGACAGAACAGGGAAGCATTTGACAACCATCT